TATTCGTACACAGAAATACTTTATAAGTGTTAGCTAAGCTAGAATTTCATCTAAGTAATAAAGGATTTTCCCTGTTAAAAAAACTTCCATCGTTAAACACCTTATATTATTTAAAAGTGACATGGGTAACAAAAAGACCTGTAAGAACGGGCAGAGAGAAAAGAAGAAAGAAGATTTTTACATACATTTCTTGATGATCATAAAATGAAACATAGCTTGATTTTTTAGAAGACTTTCTTGGACTGTTCTTGGCATCAGCTGTTGCCTCTTTAAACATCGGGTCTAATTGTTCTCTTATTCTTGTACCTAACTGAAAGTAGGGACGACATCTAAAGACTTCGGTGGTTGTAATTTTTTACAGGACAGAAGCACCAGGAATATAGAATTAAAGTTTTTCGTACTCCTAATGAAGGGTAGGAAAACGAGGAATAATATGTTCTCGTGCTACTACCGAGAGGAGATCGTAGTAGAAGCTAGAGAAAACGTCCCGATAGATAGACATTTAGAAAATTTATCTCATCACATCATCATCAACAGCCTATAACAGTCCACTGCTGGACATAGGCCTCTCCTTAGAAAGGAGGTTTTGGTCTACTATACCACGGGTTGGTATAGGGTTTGTGTCAAGTTTACCTTCTCTTTGCAGTGCTGTGGTTCTGCGTAGTTTGCTCCCTTAGTCGGCTCTTACGACACTCATGGGATGAATAGGGGTGGTGACACTCTGTATTCTTAATCTGTCACCACACGGACAAAAAAATTATAGCAATGTGTATAATTATTATTATTTTAAGTATGTTGCAAGATTTTTTGAAAAATAAAATATTTACAGAGATATATTACAATTTTAACAAACATATTGTGTTTAGATCCAAAGATTTTTATGTGTATCATCTGTACCTGTACTTACTATTACATTACGTAAGTCTCACCTTGTATCCAATTTCATAGGAGTCAAAATATTTATGAGCCTGTGCGTCCGCATAATAACGCCTGAGGTAACGCGTTTGAGGTCCAGCAGCATATACACAGGGATCGCGCGTACAACACTGGTCGTTTACTATTATTCCACCGTCATAAGACAAGCCGCTTTTATGTATAGCTAAATATTTAATTAAGACATTTAATAAACAAGCTGTGACTAAAAATAACAGCACTTTTGACAGCAGTCGGAATAGGGAATATGCCTGCTTTTTTTATTTTATAAAAATATAAATAGAAAAAAATATAAATAGTCTTGAAAATAGTCAAATAATTTTAAAAAGTGAAATTTAAAACATTGAATAAATTTGAGCCATTCAAACACCACCATTTAGCGCGCGCTTGTGATGACGTCATTGGTTGTGTCCCGTGTTTGTTTACTATAGCGTTTCAGTTACTTCATAATAAGTATGAAGTAACTGAAACGCTTCAGTTTTAATTAAACAAATCATGGAAGAAGTTAAAAAACCTTCTTACAAGTATTGTATGGTACCAAAGTGCAAATAATAGTGTTATTAGTACACTCGATAAAGTGTTCCACGCGATGCGATAATTCGAAAAAATAGTGTAAGATGATGAGAATTGATAATGTATCTCCATTATCGGTTGTATTTTGTTGTGAAGATTATTTTAAAGTAAGCATGCTATATTTATGTACAGCTTAGTGTGAATTAGCTATTAATCAGTAAAAGATTTGATCTAAAACTACCCTAACCTAGTTTACAAAAGTTCATTAAAAATTTATCTAAAGAGCTTGCTTATTCCTATTGCGGTTTTACGAAATTTTAATGATTGATAATTTATTTCAGGTTAAGGAAGATACGGTTAATTATTCATATTGAATATAACATAATGAAACAGGAAGGAGAAAAATATAATCTACGGTTAAAGAAAGGAGTTGTTGTTGTTCCTCATATATTTTTGTGTCAAAAACGGAATATGCCACCACCAGTTGAAAGAATGGCCGTAGTTAAAAGGCAAAGACTATAACTGGTAAATGAAGCTCTTTTAGAGTATGCTATCAAAGGTAGTAATATTTTAGAAATTGGTGAACCTCCACAAAGAAGTGATTACGAAGCAAGTCCTAATACTTCCAAAACAAATGTATGTGATATTAATCAAGCAGGACCCAGTACTTCCTCCACAAATGTATGTGATATGTATATGGGAAGTATGTGATGATCATCAAAAATAGCCCTGCATTTCTTATATTTAAGATAAATTAAAGAGTGAAAAAGCTGTGCATGTTAATACTAAACCGAAGTACAAAAGTAAAAGTGTCAATGTAAATATACCTACTGAAAAGAAAATCTAGAAAAATATTTAAGACAAATTTAAATTTTATACATGTTACCTATAAGCGGTACTGCCGAACTACTACCAAACAACGATATATTTATCATAATAAAGCGAAGGAACTACTATTAAACAATGAAAAAGTGCAATATTTGGCTTGGCCAGAGTAAGAATTATATTAATATGGAAAAATCTTGGTTCCTAATGCAACTATTTTAGCGTTATTTGTTTGTCGTGTAGTAAAGATAGAATATGATTTTCTGAAATTTAGAGGATTATAAGCATGTATAGGCAGCATGTAAGTAAATTTAATCTACACCTACCAACAAAGGCTCTCATATCAATTCCTATTTTTCCATAATAAAAAAACGCACAACATTTTAGCTTTAAATATTTGGAGTGCGATATAAACTCAGCGTGAGTGATAAAGTTATTTGTATCGTCCCAAACCCAAGTCACGAAATAATAAGAACGGTAGACGGTTATTTTAAAATCACGTAAAATCTCTTTGATTGTTAGATCCACCTGTAACAAATATAACCATTGTAGATATTGCCTGTATCATCAACTACCTATAACAGTCCACTGCTGGACATAGGCCTCTCCTTAGAAAGGAGGTTACTTGTATATAAGGCCAATACTGCTTTTTATTGCGCAAACTAACAAAAGTAAGTTCACAGGTATCGCATTATATGGATCTATGGCTAACGATATTATAATAAACAGAAAATAATCAACTAACATTCTCATTGCAGAACTCAGGTACTCTTATCTTCTCAGGGTTCTCAGAAGGGAATGGCTCGATAAATATTATGTCCTCCGGAGGGACATTGATTGTCAAAAGAGCATTTATACATAGATAAGACTTGACTGTAGCGCCGTAAACTATAACTTTTGCTGTAATCACACACGAATTGTTTTTCATAATTTGGAGACCCTGGCACACGAAAAATACCTCCTCGTTAAATATAAAAACAAAACATTTAAAGTTTTTCTTGATATCCTTTTTTTTTTCACGCGGGGAATACTTTTCGCACCATACCCTCCGTTGGGGAAATGTAGGGCGTGTGGGACTCTCGGAGAACCGGTCTACCCACTAAACCCCGCGGCGGCCTACCTCGGCAGTCGGGAGAAGCTCCAGGAACGCATCAGCGACTTCTGGAGTCCTCCCTGCCGTACCTCATGTCTGAGGCACATCCTGGAGTGACCGTAGTTACCCTGGGGCAGGACGCTACCGCGCCTCTAACTGTTCTACAGAGTAAAAGGCGCAACAGCGTCCCGCCTTAGACGACAGGCCCCGGCCGCACCGGAGTGTCATCTGTCTCGGGTCGTTTACAGCGGTCACATCGCCCCAAGATGTAGCCGCAGCGACCCTTAGGCGGCGATTGGGGAGTTAGCGACCCCTGCCGCGTCCCCTTCGCCGCCTGCTTCGAGCGGGATCGGCCCTCTCCCGATTACGCTCTGCGGCCTACTTTTGGAGCATAACATCCTCGCAGAAGGAGACCGCGGCTGCCCATCCCTCGCCACTCGCCATCGCCATTAATGCTGGCGGTGACAGGTTTCGTCCGATCTGTCCGACCAAGACTCGACTCCCATGCAGGGCAGTCTTCCAGCGTGTGCTGGGCGGAGTCCCGATCGGACCCGCAATGGTGGCATTGTGCCGTAACCTCCCGTCCAATTCGATTCAGATACTCACCGAAGCAACCGTGCCCGGTAAGTATCTGAGTCAATCGGCAGGTGACACAGTCGTCGGGCACGCCGTCATCGCGGCGGTAAGACCCGTTATGGAGGATTGGCTCGAGAGGCGTCACGGGACCCTCTCATACCGACTGACGCAGGTGATCACTGGGAAAGGATGTTTCGGGGATCACCTGTGTCTGATCCGCAAGGAGCCAACGCCTGAGTGCCACCACTGCGATGGCCAGACCGTGGACACGGCTCTCCACACGCTGGCAGAGTGCCCGGCGTGGGTTGAGCAGAGGCAAGACCTCGTGGCGGCCATCGGAGTGGGAGTTCTCTCGCTCGATAGCCTGATTGCGGCTATCGTGCGGAGCGAGAGTGCGTGGAACTCTGCCGTCTCCTTCTGCGAGCAAGTTATGCTCGCGAAGGAGACGGCGGAGCGGGACCGGGAGAGGTTTAGGACTCTCCCGGCCCGCCAGGCCCGGGAACGGGCCAGGTACCGCATTCGACTCAGGCGCTGGAGGTCGCAGAACGACCTCCGTCCTCCGTAAGCGCAGGCCTGAGGGTGACAGGTGAGGCCATCTGTCACCCTAGCAGAAGCAGGCCGGGGTGGCGGCGAGCGCGTTGCGAAGCGCGCTCGCTTCCAGGGAGCACAGGGAACATGGGGTTCCCACACGGGGGGGTCGTCTACTCGTCTGTAGATGACCCGAGGTATGTCGGGGCACCAGGGACTTCCTTTCTAGGGTATACCTGGTTCCCCGGCTATTAGTACCCGAGACGGCGTGCGGTTTTAGTCGGTTCGAGTCCGACATGCCACCGAAGGGTGGATATCGCGCCAGGACCGTCGCCGCCTCAAACGAGATCGTACGATAACCCCGTACGACCCGTATAGCCATCAACCGCAACAGCAGGCTTCTCTTTACAGTGCTGTTGTCCTGCAGAGTTTGCTCTCTTAGTCGGCTCTTACATTACGTTTTACTTTTGGTATATCAGAGATATTCTTATCTCCTATCATTAAAAAAAGATGACTAGCAAAAGAAACATACCGTCGCTAGTCCAAGATAATTGTTTGACATAATCCAAAGCTTTTTGGGCTTCTATTACGTGGTTGATAATGAAAACGTTACGGGGTGTGTCATCACATGTGATCTGAAGCTCAGTGTCACTGTACCGTGGTACATCGAGGGGACAATATTCTGCCACTGGTCTTCTCCTAAAAAAAATTGACCAGCAATGTTAAACCCTTCACAACAGTGCTAGGAAAGAATTTTTGGTCTTAATTTTTATAAGTAATTTTGGAATACTTGAACTTGCTTGTGTGTATCGTGTAAGTTCAACTATTTTCATCAGGACTTTACACATCAGTACGCACACTTAAGCGCAACCGTATATGTTCATTACCTATGCATACCACTCGTAGAAAGTATAAGTTGCTTACTGTTTTTCCAGGTCTCTTCCCAATAAATGTGTCATATAATTCGGATGTTGATATTGTTTACCGAAAAATAAAAATAGGAGGTCATAGTGACAACGGTTTCCACTAGTCAATGTAACGAATTTCTCTTGCCTGTAAAAATATAAGATACACATATGTCATGTAAAATAGAATATGTCCTAGGCCTACTAAATAAAAAATATTTGAGGTTGAGTTTGCAAAGATTTACTTACTGATAACACTAGTTTACAAAATTGAACTTTTTTTTTATACCCCAAAATAAATGTATATAAATATGTTAATCTACCTTCCTTAAATCTAAAAGTGTTAGCAAAAATATTTTATCACGTCACAATTTCTTCCTGCAGTCAAATGTTTATTTTTTAACTACCTAACGTGGTGACTACAGTTTATTGTTTATTCGTTCGCTTCAAACGACAATTATCTTGTTTCGGATTGATTTAAAATGTCGAGTAGAAAGTGTAAACAAAGTTCTGATCGTTTTTGTTATGTTTGTGGACAGTTTATATTTTCAAAAAAGAAAAGACCCATTGTAGATTCGTTAAGTATCTACATAAGTGCATATCTTCATTATTTTGGATTTCCCGTTGCAAATCAAGATAAAAAGTGGGTTCCTTATGTGTTTTGCGAAAGCTGTAGAATCGTCTTACTCCAGTGGTCATCAGGAGAAAACGTTCACCTTCCATTTGGTTCACCAATGCTATGGAGAGAACCTAGGAATCATGAAAAACAAAAACATCATTATGTAAGAAAAGAATGGCCTATTCGGAATGAGTATATTCCGGGCAAAATGAACATTAAACACGAGCTGTTGGTAGATCCCAATAACGTCACTCTACCCCCTTTACACATCAAATTGGGGCTCATGAAAACAGTGATGCTTTCCGGTATTTACAAAAAATCTTTCCAAACATTACAGAAGGAAAACTGAAAGAGGGTATATTTGTTGGCCCACAAATCCGTAAAATTATGAAAGATTCTCAGTTTGAAAGCCTTTTATCTGTAATGAAAAATCTGCTTGGAAGTCATTCAAAATGGTTGTGGAAAATTTTTTGGGAAGCAAAAAAAGTGAAAATTACAAAGAAATTGTTACCGATTTATTGGAAAATTTTCAAAAGATGGGAGTAAACATGTCATTAAAGATTCATTTTCTGCACTCGCATCTAAGTTTTTTCCCTGAAAACTTAGGAAGTATGAGTGACGAACAAGGGGAACGTTTTCACCAAGATTTAAAGGTTTTTGAAGAACGACATCAAGGATTTTGGGATGAAAACATGTTAGGAGATTACTGTTGGTCCACTATAAGAGAAACTGATTCAAATAGCTATAAAAAGAAGGCAAAAATTAATCATTTTTAATTTTTTTTTAGTATTAATACCAAAATTATGTATTTCAGTTAAGTTAATAAATATTTCTTAAACCAGACGTGACCGAATTTTTTTATTATTTTTTTGAGATAATTCTACCTAAATGAATAACAAAATAACAACTTTCAGCTGGGGTATGAAAACCGTGTAAACTAGTGTAATTTGAGGACCTACCGCTCATGTCGATAACTCTATATTAATATCCGAGTTAATAATTTATATAACTTATAAATATTTAAATAATGCCTACACAGGTGAAAATATGAAACTAACAAGTATATAGAAAAAAATCAGGTTTTAATGAAACTTACCACTACATGTGTGGGCCTCGCTTTCTTCTAAATATCGCACCCCTTTTTTTTCTGTGCGGAAATCCTCTTGGATACCACACATCGGTGGCTATGTCGGACTCGAACCGACTAAAAATCGCACGCCGTCTCAGGTAGCAGTAGCCGGGGCACCATGTGTACCCTAGAAAGGAAATCCCTGGTACCCCGACGTACCTCGGTCCATCTACGGCGGGTAGATGACCCCCTCCTGTGTGGGAACCCCCATGTTCCCTTTGTGCTCTCGAAAGGGCGCGCGCGCTCCTCAGCGTGGCTCGCCGCCACCCCGGCCTGCTTCTGCAAGGGTGACAGATGACTTCACCTCTCACCTCCACCCTGCGATAATGGAGGAAGGAGGTCGTTCTGCAACCTCCGGCGCCTGAGTCGTCTGCAGTACCTGGCCCGAGTCCGGGCCTGGAGAGATCTATAACTCTCCCGGTCCCGCTCCGCCATCTCCTTCGCAAGCATACCTTGCTCGCACAAGCAGACGGCTGAGTTCCACGCACTCTCGCTCCATGGCCGCAATCATGTCACCAAGCGAGAGAACTTACACCTCGATGGCCACCACGAGGTCGGGAGCCCCGTGTAAACGGGCCGGCCATCGCAGTGGTGATACTCAGGCGTTGGCTCGTTGCGGATAATACACAGGTGATCCCCGAAGTATCCTTTCCCAGTGATCACCTGCGCCAGCCGGTACGATAGGGTCCCGTAATGACTCTCGAACCAATCCTCCATAGCTGGTCTTACCGCCGCGATAATGGCGTGTTCAGAAATGAAATAGACCTGATGAACGGCAGTTACTACTATATTACATCGACCAGAGGACATACACCTAGCCTTCCAAATTTTTACATTTATAATATTAGTATTACATATTAGTATAGACAAAAGGACTGGAAATTGGTGTCTATGAATTACAGTTCTAAAATAAATAATCATATCAACTTAGTGCTATAACTAACAGATTTATTTCAGCCATTTTTCCTTGTATCACATTGATATAATAAGTATATGGTACGCTCTTTAAGTATTTATGAGTGCTAGTATAGTAACGCAGAAACATAGATTCTGCTACCGGTTTTGTATGCCGTATGTAGGGTAGACCGAACGGCGATATCAGTGTTACATTCGTAAATGTAATGTATGTAGACGGTTGTCTGAAATGTTATAATTTTCCTTTACATTTAAGAAAACTTTTTTGTACAAAGCAATTGTTAATGTAATTTTTATAACTTACTCAAATAAAAGAGCCTTCAAAAAGCCGAGACACGTTCTAGAACCCCCTATAATAACAATCCGTGTGGTGATATCAACTTTAGACAAGGTTGTGAACTTTCTATTAATAAACCAAGCGCTGAACGGTACTCTGTAAAACAGTGATATAAAAAATTCTTTAATTTTATAATGCAATATATGAAAGGATATATCTAAAGGACATCATTCACGCTCCATACAAAAAGTACCCAAAAAAAAAAGTGGCGGCCAACGAAAAAAAATTGTTTTATCGGTTAGAGAATGACATTCTAAGATTTTTTTCTTTAGACGGCTAAGAGCTAACACCGATTACTTATGAGTTATATGACATGATATTTTTACTTCATTACTATAGCAAAAATCAAATAATGATGATAAAAAATAACTTAATCTCGCTTAATAATAATATAATATGACAAAAAGCCTAATTATTATATACAATCATCATTAGGTACCTAAGTACCTATGTAGGTATTTATGTGTAGGTATTAGTGTTATAAAATATATGTAAAGAAAAAGACTTCATTTCGTTGCCTACGTGGCTTTATTCATATGTTATAATTCCGCAGGTCTTACGATAACATTTTCTAAACCTAATGCAGGTAGATTTATGGGAGGTTGTTGGTGCCTGGCGAACGTCATGTACCACACTATGCACATAGTGTGGAAACAGCAGCCCACCGTTCTTTTGCCAACATTGCATGAGCAATAATAATATGGTATGGCATCACGGCCACTCAATGATGTGTCGATGCCAATGTAAACATAATATACTCTGGCCCGAACATGCCGAGATTGTACTCTTCCTCTTATAATTATTATGTTTTCGCCCAATTCTCTGACGTGTTCTGTTAAAAGTCTGTCGCCAAGTTCGACTGTAAAAACACCATTTGGATTGATGTGCTCGCCGTAATAGCTTTTAGCTTGTTTTATTTGATAAATAAATAATATTAAATTCTCTTCTGAGAGCCTTGGAAAATCATCGAACTTGGGCATATCGGCGGACATCGGCTGAAATTGTGCTCGTCTTCTATTATAATTATGGCTTACAACTATATCAGCCAGCGTGTTAGGGATTGACATTCTATGGTTTATTAGGTATGGCCAAAAAGGATTGGGCATGAATATTGTCATTTATTAGTATATGGTATGCATTAATTATAGCAGCCGCAATCTTAAAACAATCAAACATGTGAGTAAGAGCACGATTTATATTGACATGTCTCAAAAATCTAAAATCCCGTTTGAAACGGCCATTAACTACCTCCACAACCCACCGAGAGATAGTTACAAGGCGAGTTTTATTTGCTTGCATCGTTGTCAGCTGGGTTTCATTTCGGAGCTTGGCTTCAGGCATATGTGCAGAATATCCCAGTGACTCCATTGGTGATATGGCATCTCTGAAGCCGCGATCCAAAATAAATACATCACCTTGTCTATAAATGATTTTATGATTTTCGGAGATCCATTTTGGGTCTAAAAGTTGGTCGTAGACGTTTGTTGTAATAATAAAAAATGTTTAAGGATCATTTGCCGTAAGATGACACAGTTTTTGTTTTTACTGGCCTTCACTTTAATTTTTGGGTACATTTTGAATGATGACCTTTCATCAAAAGAATTAAAAAATATTAGATAGTAGTTGAATAACAATAGCACCACTTAGTTCCAACAATAGGGAATATACACGTGACACCAAAATGGACAAAATATTTTTATTTGTAATTTTTATTGCTAAAAAAAGATACTCATATTATTATTTTTGAAATTTATTATAATTTAATAGTGAAATTTAATCATCAAAAATTGACCATTTTAAGATTCCCTCGCAAATTTCTAAAACGCAAAGCTATTGGTTGAATAAAACGTGACGTCAACCTACACTGTCAAGAGTGTCAGCAAGTTGTGTGTATTTGTAATATTTGGTTTCTGGTGATTATTTGTTTCATTTTAAGTTAATAACTAATACGTTTCAGTGTTAAATTATTAAATTCCCGTGTAGAAAGACTCAACACAATGACTGAATATACTTTGTCAGGTGCAGTTTTGATATTATTTGGGCACAAAGGAACGGCACAATATTTATAATATGTTTTTATTGGCTTTCCATGGTAATAAGTTAATTTTTATCACTCACTTTTTTAACTTTCAGAAACTTTGTGAACTTCACTCCGTTGTTGACATTGAATTCGTCTGAAAGTAATCTGACGTCACAAAAAAAGCGCGCCAAAATGGACGTGTTCAAATTGCCCCAAAATGATAGTGATTTTTACAATTATTTTTTTTGCTTAACGGTTTATATTTCGGATGTGTTATATTTATTTTTGGTAATGTAATAACTAGTAGAATCGTTAAAAAAATACATGCATATTCCCTATAGCTGTTAAGCGTACAGGGTGAAAAATCATAAAAAATTGTCTTACAAATTAAAAATAAACTAAGTAATGAACGTAGGGGTACCTACGTTCATTACTTAGTTTCAAAACATGTTAAAGTAACACTGACTATATATCATGACAGTGTTAGAGTGTGTTAATAGAGATATTTATCTCTCTAAAAAGGACTAAACATCAACGATACGTAGTGGTTGATTGTCAATTTATGTATATCGTTAAGTTTATAGCCGTGCTTAGTCTTACTTTAATTGTGTTCCTTAATCCTCAAAAGGCAGTAAATATATACTAATGTAAATTTGTACTGCATTTAAAGAATAGTTAACTAAATATGTGATTAGTTAGCAATGCTAACTATCCATCAATTTAATTTAAAAAATAAATACGTACATTTCATTAAGCATCGTCCCTATCCTTTTCAATTCAGGCACCGTCTCACTGTCAATCTCCATCTCCCTGGGCATTAAAGGAATCATAGAAGAAACTGCCACGTTTACTTTATGTACCGCCTGCAAATAGAAAAATGAAATTGACCATAATGAGATTTCTTACTTAAGCTAATATGTGTAATAATAAAGTAATAATAAAAAGTGCACACTTTCGCTTTATACATACATATTGTATGTATAAAGCGAAAGTGTGCACTTTTTGACAAATACTTTTTCACACTTTACACTTTTTTAAATAATTATAATAAGTGAAATACTTACCCATTTATTCCTGTAACCTGTAACATACATCAAGGTATTACTCCCTGATAACCGCATTAGCTCTCTTGTGAAGAACCTAAAATGTGGTTCAAATACTGGGTAAGCTATGATGGTTTTAATATTCATGTGACCAGCGTCTATTCCATGGCATTCGTAGCGGTATTTATGCAGTTGGAAAGCGTCTAAGTTGAAGCGGCCTCTTATAAAGTCTATTTCTTCTGAAAATCTAAAAGCATTTACTTAATGACGTATCAATGTAAAAATTACATCTACTTCTGCAGATTTAAGAAGAGAAGAAAATAATGTGTAATGAGTTTACTTTTTAGGGTCCAGTACCTAAAAGAAAAACACGGAACCCTTATAGGATCACTTTGTTGTTCGTCTGTTTGTCCGTCTGTCTGTCAAAACCCTTTATTTTGGGAACGCGTGGAGGTATCGAATTGAAATTAAAACTACATATATACACAGGTCTACAGTCTTTTGAAGCTGTAAAAGAATCAAACTTCTGAGTTAACGTAAAAAACGACGAGGCCGTTTATGCCGCAAAAAGAGTATATTTCGATACTCTCAAGGGAATCAAAATTTATAGGGTGCTTTACGATGACCCAGAACTATGAAATTTGGCAAGTAGCTTTGTCTTATACTACAAGTACAGGGAAAAAATTTAAAAACTATGCATTTGTAACCAATCATCGAGGTACAATTTTACTTATAAAATACATTAACATAAGTAATTATAGGTTTTGGAAACTGAATTTCGGTAATAGCTCGGTAAAAGCTCGGTAAAAACTGTAAGACTCGATTCTCGAACTATTTATAATTTGTGCCTACAAATTCGTACGGAACCCTCGGTGAGCAAATCCGACTCGCATTTGCCCGGATTTCTTTTCATTAAATTCTATTCAGCGTTTATCCTATTTATGATGAAAATATTGCACTGAGAAAGAAAACCAAGTCATCACGATTTAGGTGCATTGTTTACGTACTCCAATATTGCAATGCCGACAATTGACATTCCGCTAGTGAAGACATATGCGTGATTCTCTTTGTTGCTTAATATCATAGTTTCAATAGCGTGCATAGTGTCCTTTGCGTCCAAGGGGTACAGTAAATGGGCTATATTAGGTATGTCGATTATTTCTGCTTCACGAACTCTTAGCTTCCTGCAGGAGTAAAAAATAGAGTAAACAATTTATATATACCTACAAATGTAATGTGTACGTCCAATAGATATACCAGACTTTCTTGGCTTTATTCTTAGTAACGCTCCTATTTCAATCTCAGCTCAATTCTTACCATTTGATAACACATTTATCTTGCTAGGGCATGATTACTCTTTTTTATAACTCGATTATACTATTGAATCATTCCTACGTATGGAATAGGACTTATCCTTTTAAGAAAGATAAACATACCCTAATACTGAACTTCTATGAGCCACATACAGGCAGTAATCACAGCAAACTCGACTTCTTAGAGGAACAAACTGAAAACAAAAGGAACAAACTGAAAAAAAAATCCTTGCGTTAATTAATTACGTACAAAAGTGAAAGCATAATCTCCACATCTTTTCGGCTCTTACCACACCCAGGGGATGAATAGAGGTGGTGACACTCCGTATTCTTAATCCGTCACCACACGGATCTCCATACAAGATCTCCCAATTGAAAAAGCGAAATTACCTACTTATGTAGGTTAATCAATCTAAAGACAGTAATAATGTATTTAGCAGCCAGTCAAGATTACTTTAGGTTTTTTTTGAGGCGGCGACAGTCCTGGCACATTGCCCGCCTTTTGATATCCTGGCGGATATGGACGCGAGGGTCTACGACCAGACTCGCTCGATTCGCCGGGGTGAGAGAGGGTAAGACCTGGACGAGCTCGAAATGCGGCGGAACGCTCACCGAAAGGCACTGGTGCAGTAGCGCGCGCGGCTGGAACAGCCGAGGAATGAGCGCCATCGCGCTGTTGGTGCTGTTCTGCCTAACCTCGAAGCTTGGGTAGGTAGGGAAGGAGGTCGCGTCACCTACCGACTGATGCAGGTACTTACTGGGCATGGTTGCTTCGGTGAGTACCTGAATCGTATCGGACGCGAGGAGACGGCACAATGCCAGCACTGGGCAGCCGACTGGGACTCCGCCTAGCACACGCTGGAAGACTGCCCCGCGTGGGCGTCTTGAACGCGAAGTCTTGGTCGGCAATATTGGACGAGACCTGTCCCCGCGAGCAATCATTACTGACATGCTGTGTCTGCAGTGGTCTGTTCCTGTGAAGCTGTAATGTTTCAGAAAGAGACCGCTGAACGGGAGAGGGCCGATCCTGAACCTCCTGAACCGGGAGAGTGGGGACCTCTGGTGGCAGATTGATTTCTGCAGTAGGGGATAGAACGGCAGCCTGATTGCATTAAGACGTAATCCGGCCGCCACGCCGCGATTGAGGTGGTGGAAGTGTTTTCCCCTGGGATAGGCATAGTATCAATTCGGGGAGGACCTAAAATAACATGGTCCGAGTCCTCCCAGAGTAGTACACCTGAGGCCGGCCGGCGAAGTGGTTTTCAGAGGAATCACCACATACTGCTAGCTAGATCACTTCCCTTCGCGGCACTGTGCGACTAACGTGTGACTTCATATGCTAACAATTTAAATATTGTTTTCTGTGTTTTTCTGCGACTAGTTCCCGGTTTGCGGGCGGCTAAAGGTTGTGTATAGTGTTTTAAAGAATATCAGTAAGTTTTTATTGTTTTTTAAACAGAAATATAGTGCTGAATTATTTTATTACGACTATTGGTGAGTAAATTTATTTTCTTTCTAAAAGTGGGTAGGAGGTATCCTTTGTTTATATTGATTTTTCTCTGCGTATTGTTTATTTTTAAACTTGTTCCTTTTGAAATTGTTGTTTGGTGTATCTTTGTTTGGCTATGTCGGTCGTTAGCGAGTTGCCGGACCCCGGCGGTACAAGTGAATTTCTAACACCAACCGGGAAAAGGACATTTAACGAAATGTTACCTACGGATTTCTCGCCGAAAGACAATAGAAGTAAACGAATTAATAATTCGGATTTAAGTGGAAATGTTTCGTCTCTTAACGGTCGTGATAACTGTGGGGAATACAAGTACTGCGAGTTAGTCTCACAGGCTACCGAGTACTTGGCAAAAATCAATGAATTAGTTAATGATCAGGGATCTCGGATGAATGTAGGTAATAAAACGGCAATTATGGATATTACTCAACGAATTACCGGTATCGTATCTTTGTTAGCAATAAAATCCTCTAGCAACGAAACGAAGTTAGCGAATTTTGAGCGACAAATGGAGGGTATCGCAACTCAACAAACGAGTTTAACGTACGCGGACAAACTTAAGCTTCGATTACCACCTAAATCTGCTCCGTGCCCGGTACCTACTGAAGCGCGCGTTCCTAGGCCTTGTGTTATTGCCTATCCCACTACGGAACGCTTAGCGGACTATGCGACCTCGTCAGCAACGAAACAAGCTCTCATGAAGGCTATTAAACCGAGCGATGAGGGATTTCAAATTGTAGGCGTTAAAAAAACCTCTAAGGCAGGCGTCGTGTTACGTGTAGCTAACGAACGGCAGCTTAAGAAACTGGAATCTGTGGACGCCATTAAATCAGTAGGGTTGCGCTTAGAAAAACCGAAAGGCCGTAGGCCCCGTATAATTGTAAAAGACGTACCCGGTTCTATGGAAGATCGTGCCTTCCTAACAGCTTTATACCGTCAGAATATCAAGGACGAATTAAAATTAAGTGAGAATGATTTTATTAAGTCAACCAAAATTGTTAGGCATCGTAAACTAGAAAATGGGCGTCAATGGATAGGCTTAGAATTAGAGGCAGCAGTTCGGAAACATCTAGCCAACACAAAAGATAAACTTTATATAGACTGGGCCACATGTAGATTCATAGACGATATAGAAGTAGTTCGTTGCTTAAATTGTCAGCAATTCGGTCATGTACAAAAGTTTTGCACTATTAAAACCCCTACTTGTGCTAATTGCGCCGCCGCACACGAAACGCGAGCTTGTCCAGATAAAGACACACCAGATTTTAAGCCCACGTGCGCACAGTGTAAGCGGTTCAAAAAACCATCTGACCATCGATGCGGCTCATACGACTGTGCCACATACAAATTAAAACTGGAACAGCTAATATTAAATACCAATTACTGAATAGTTTAACTTAGTTTAAAAAAAAAAAAAAAAAAAAAAAAATTTCGATAGGCCAGTTAAATCTTCATAACGATAAAATAGCTACATCAGAATTAGACCGTTTAATTTTAAAACAAAAGTTAGACATTGTCCTTTTACAAGAACAATATCAGAGCGCTCACTTGCGTCGTAATGTAGTACAGCTTGACTGCCGTTCGCAGGCTGGGATATATGTTGCAAGTTCTAATTTTACGGTAACATCTTTGCGTAATCTTATGACGTCACACTGCGCCGTTGCTGAGATCTCATCCTCTACCTGTAAGGTTTACGTAGTGAGCTGCTATTTTCAATATTCACATCCTATTGATCCTCACTTACATCACTTACGTTACGTCTTGCAGTTCCTCGTGGGACATAAATTATCATTGGCGCTGATGTCAATGCGTCATCTTCATTATGGTATGGCAAGTTGCGTTCAACCGACACGGTTCGACGTTGTGCGGTTGAAGATTTCATTGCGGAAATGAATCTTATTATTCACAATACCCCCGATGCACCACCAACTTTTTGCAACCCAATGGGTGAGTCTTCTATTGACGTGACGCTTACGCGCGGCGACGTCTCGATATCCGGATGGCGTGTCCTTCCGGACGCATCCTGTAGTGATCACCGCTTGATCGTGTACGAATTCACACCAAGGGTTGCACAGGATCCACAAAGGGCTCCCTATAATTTTAGATATAAAACTAAAGGTGCGAACTGGGCTTTGTTTGGTTCACTCTTTGCAACTCATACCAAAGACTTCAGTCGCAGTAGTTTATCAGCTGAGGAAAGCGCAGAAATACTATCAGAAACTTTTACATACTGCGCTGATGTAACTATTGGTCGCGAATCTATCACTAACACTCGTAGATGTGATTGGTGGAATGATAGATTAGCCGAACTACGTAGAAGCTACCGGAAAGCTCGTAGAAAATTAAACACTATTAAAAAACATAACGTAACAGGAGATTTGTACAACATTGCTCTCATTGCTCTTAGAGTTGCCAGGTCCCACTACAGAGCTGCTGTGGAAAAATCCAAGGGAAACTTAATTCAGAAACTTGTTAATAAACTCGATAGAGAAGGCCCGTGGTCACCTTTGTATCACGAATTTAAGGCAAATAGATCAATCGACCACGCATACATACAGAACATCAAAATTAATAACAGATATACCACAGGAGTAGAACAAACAGCAGAATATCTTTTAGACTCACTCGTACCTGACGATCGACCGGAAAACGACACTGATCATCACCGACAGATCAGGCAGTGGGCCATCGAACCACCACTGTCTCCAATGTCTGATTTACCATCTTCAGACGAATTTCTCGGTATCATTAGATCCTTGCCGCTAAACAAGGCTTCGGGTGATGATAAAATATCTAACAAAATGATAAAAGAAGCTTGTAAACTTTCGGGTGACACGATTTTCATTGTCTTTAAACGTTGCATTGCTGAAGGAATATTTCCTCGTATATGGCGGTGCGGTAATATTCGTATAATACCAAAAAGTGGCGACAAGCCACCGGATGATCCTAAATCCTACCGACCAATCACATTGTTACCATCGTTAGGAAAGCTTTTAGAACGTCTTGTAGTGCCCCGGCTTCGGCCAGGTGGAGTCAAATTTCATGATAGACAATTTGGATTTACGTTGGGTAAATCGACAACTGACGCTGTTATATCGGTTAGAAAGTTTGTCACAGAGTCAAAATTTCAATACGTGCTGGCTATTTTCTTAGATATATCTGGCGCCTTCGACAACGCATGGTGGCCCATGCTGTTGCTGAAATTAAAATCACGGGGGTGTTTTAAAAATATTTATTCCCTTATCTCTTCGTACTTTTCACAAGGTACAACTAAACTAAGACTTGGTCATCATTCTGTGTCGAAGGCGCTTACAATGGGATGTCCTCAGGGATCGGTGCTAGGTCCATACTTGTGGAATATCGGCTTCGACGATTTTCTTACGATACCAATACCATCCGGATGTACTCTGAACGCGTATGCTGATGACGGCTTATTACTGGTGGAATCTGATACTAGGGCGGGGCTTGAGAGATTAGCCAATAGATGTTTGAACTTGATATCTCAATGGGGTGAACGTAATCGCTTAACTTTTGCACCCAACAAAACCTTCCAGTTACTTTTAAAAGGTAACCTCAAATCACCGCCGAGCATTAGATTTGACAATGTTACTGTAAAAAATAAAACCACAGTGTGTTATCTAGGATTAGTTTTAGAAAGAAACTTTTCATTTATCGAACATATTAAAATAGTTAATGAAAAGTCTAAAAAGAGTTTCTGTGCATTGACAAGGATATCAACTGCGACATGGGGTCTATCATTTAATACATTAAAGATCATATACGGAGCTACTTATTTAGGTTCTATGTGCTATGGTGCACCTGTATGGGCCGATAGGGCGACCGTAGGCGCTGTCCGTCGCAAACTGTTACAAGGCCAACGACTTGCACTGATATTTTTGTGCAAGGCATATAGGACGGTTAGCACTGAGGCTTTGCCGGTGTTGGCGGGTGTCCTTCCGGTCGATCTCGAGGTGCAGAGACGTGCAGCCATGTACTATTCAAGACAAAACATGGAATGCGATTTCTTGGGCGCGCGGGATCGCGGTAAAATTACAAGATTGCTTCAACAGCAGTCCGATGTCTATAATGACCTCATAGACGAATGGCAGCAACGCTGGGACGAATCATCCAAGGGGCGCCATCTTTACCAATTTTTTCCATCTGTTCGCGAACGGTTGTCGAGGACATGGCTTGAGGTGGATCACTGTGTCGCTCAATTTCTTACGGGTCATGGTAACTTTAAGAGCAAGTTGTATTCATTTAAATTAGTCGAGTCACCATTGTGTCAATGCTCAACACCTAACTCTCATTATGAACAGTCTGCTCATCATATCCTCTGGGAATGTAGTCTTTGGTATAATGAACGTAATATAATGCTGAATAGCTTGCAGGTGACATCTGGGGCGGTATACTATGGGGATCTTGTGTCAACTAGGGTGAATTTCCGTGCGTTTAGGCGATTCTGCCATACATATTATAGAAATCAAATATAGCTCATGTAGGACCCGTAATATTTTGTGGCCGTGGTGCTTCCCTGTTTAAAAGGGTGTATGCCTATTTTACTTCATTTTGTCTCCCGCTTTGCTAAGGAGGGAAGTGGATTTACTGTATTTCCAACTCCTCCAATTTTCTTCTGATTAATTTCGTTGCGGGTTCCAAGACAGTTTAATTTCTTCCTGGGACTTCCCGAGTGTCATAACTCGGTGTGTTCGTGGGTCACTGCTGTGGATCCTGGTGTACAGGAGTTACAGTGGTGGGCGTGTGGGTGGGATTAGTCCCAATACTGCTAGCTCCTGAGTCCCCGAGGAGCAGGAGATCCCAAATGATTTTCCAACCCGTCAACAAAAAAAAAGGTATTACGTTGTACATATACTTCTAAACAGCACTTTTATATCCCAGATATCGTTACATTTAAATATAACAGTGAAGCAAGGTCTACACAACATCACTAAAGGGGAGAACAACACGAAAAGTCTAAGTTTGAGTTAGGAGTAGCTACCTCGCAGAACGACCTCCGTCCTCCATAAGCGCAGGCCTGGGGGTGACAGGTGAGGCCATCTGTCACCCTAGCAGAAGCAGGCCGGGGTGGCGGCGAGCGCGTTGCGAAGCGCGCTCGCTTCCAGGGAGCACAGGGAACATGGGGTTCCCACACGGGAGGGGGGTCGTCTACTCGTCTGTAGATGACCCGAGGTATGTCGGGGCACCAGGGACTTCCTTTCTAGGGTATACCTGGTTTCCCGGCTATTAGTACCCGGCGACGACGTGCGGTTTTAGTCGGTTCGAGTCCGACATGCCACCGACAGGTGGTATCCGAGGGGATTTCCGCACGGAAAAAAAAAAAAAAAAAAAAGGAGTAGCTAGCTGTCAAAAAGGATGTGTGCACACAGTATTCGTACTCGTCTACTATTAGCGGGGTTAATAAATTTTACTTTGATATGATGCATTTTTAATATCAAAACAAAAAGGAGATCAAGAAGTGCATTAAAACTTACGCAAAAGTGTTGTAATAACGGAAAATGGTGCTCAGTAGCGGGAATACGAATGATGCAGTAGTCATAGTCCTTCATCAAATCAAATGCTGCCTCTAACATATCAAAAGCATGTCTGAAATTAGAAGGACTTTCATGAGATCACTTTTAGACAAAAAAATTGGGTATATCGGATTTAAATACGTTCGCTTTAATTTCATACTAAGTGTCAAGCCACATTGACAAAGCCATTTTTTGAGGCTATCAGTTATCATATGCCTGGCTAGTGCTGAACGTACGTAAAGCTTAAGAAATAAAATCACACCTTCCTAGAAGGTGAGACACTTTATATAAACATTGTACCTGATCTTGAGATTTTTAACTACCTATTTATATGTAGGTATATTAAATTTAGACATGGAGTCAACCTTTCATCAATATCCTCACGCATCGCAAACAATTCTATCATAAATGCGTTCCGAGGACCGTGGTATGTTGCAGACATTTTCTGATCTAATATTGTGATTGTTCTTAGTTGCTTCTTGTACAAATCTGTAACAAATATTCATTAGCCATAAAGTTCGACCAGTACAAAATTAAACAAACTTAGAAAATGTAAACATTACAGCTACGGCAGGTTTTTATTTTGTCTCTGTACGTAAGACGTACTGACATACATCACAATACATTAAGTACGCTTGAAATTAAACTCGAATCAGAGGACCCAGACTTTCGAGTAAAAGTCAGAAACAGTTCGAGTTACTGGTCAGGTACGCGACACTGACCTGCTCCCCAATCGATTTGTATAATATCCCTTTCTCACCAGTACCTTACCCCCTTACCTTCGTTTTCTTTCAGTGTAAGTCTAATTTTCCCATCCAATTTTTAAAGTACCAGGTTGACATCAATAAGATTGCCTCTAATACATTAACTTTTTTTACTAATCACACAAAGTGTTGTCCCATGTGGAGAACGAACCGAAGCGGCGAGATGACCGCTTAAACCACTACGCCATACGTGCAGTCGTGCGAAAGTGGAACTAAAATGATAGCTTGCAAAATGTAGGCGATTAATAAACCTCCGTGGCAGACAGTCTTTTAAACGGTCTTCAAGTATATAGTCATGTATTCAAAAACAAAGACATACCAACTTTTTTCTGGCAGCGACTTAAGAACACATCCCTATACAAGCTTGAGTTAGTTACAACAAACTACTTCACCATTTAGCCGCTATCTCATTGACGGAATAGAATTTATATTAACTAGAATACCTACTACTAAAGTAGTAAACATATTTACTTTTTTTCTTCCATTTAAACGATGTAGGTCTCCTCAATGAAGCACTTGAAACTGTGTTCCTGAATTCAAATATTACATTATTATTACTGGACATCCATACTAATATTATAAATGCGAAAGTGTGTCTATTTATCTGTTACCTCTTAACCTAACTGCTGAACCGATTTAGATATTTATTATGGAGATACTTTGATTCTTAAGGAAAGACATAAGTTACTTTTTACCGCGACCTTTACGCGTGCAAAATCGTTCCAAATTAAGAGTTCAAAGCGGTAGCGGTCTGTCAGTAAATTTGGCTATCACCAGTCAATTTGGGAAAAACATTAGTTGACAACTAATCTTCAGAGCATATTACGATTTACCACTAAGACTTTGTCAGCATCTTTGACAAAGTCAATCGTCAATTTCAAACAGGTACCTACTATTGTTTAGCTGTGATTATTATAAGTGAATAAAAGGTTTTTGTCAAAGATTACTAGGTATACCTGACTTCATTAGACGGGACATCTTGTAACCATTTCTGATCGATGTTTACGATGTCATAATCAAAGGGATCATCATCCAGCATATTGGCAACTGAGACTAATGCACTCTGTGATAAAATTGGAGAGAAATTGAATATTCTGTCGCTCAAATCATCAGAATCGTTTTGCTTCATTATAATTTGATCTAAACTATGGTTCCTTTTAGCATTTCTCTTGAAGTTCACTTTGCTCAACTTCTTTGTCGGTAAATGACGGTTGTTTCTACATTTAGAAGTAGCGTCCTCCGGTATCTTTAAATACAATAAAACTGTATTTAATGTAATGTAAGATACTGATGGTACTTGTAGATAATATACCTATTAATTTATGACTAAAAAAATTAATATTAAATCAGCGTTTCGTACACATGACACCGGAACTATTTCTGGATATTTTTTAAAGGTATATGGGATGGCAAACAAGCAGAGACTGATTTGTGAGATCGAGAGTAGATCCTGACTTTTGAACGAATTTTTATTACGTGAATAGACCTTCAGACGGATATCACCATTCGCTAAACGCATTAGCTAGCGTGGTGTTTATAAGCCATCACACCGAGACATATGTTTTTAACAAGTACAGGTATATACAGGAACTAAGTTTATAATGATGACCTACTCATTGAGTGTCACTTTAAGTAGAATACTTACGCCAAGTGAGTGGCCAGAAGTCTTTAGTAGATGTTGAAATGGGTGCCATTTCCCATTTCTTATTGGATTTCTATAATAAAAAATACTTAGTTAGAATTGTTATACGAGGGCGGCTCAATAAGTCCGTGACTTTTTGAATTTCTGACCTCTTTACTGAAAAAGCAACACTACTCCTGTCAACAGGCATCTGTCAGTTGACTCCTGTCAAAATTTGAACTTGCTGCGTCAGTTAGTTTGTGTTTGACAGCTATCTTCATCAGACTACCCAGTAATTTGAGGAAAAAATGGAAAAAAGTGAATTTCGTGTGCTTATTAAGCATTATTTTTTGCGAAAAAAAACCATTACCGAGACCAAGGCTAAGCTTGATAAATACTATGGGGACTCTGCACCATCGATTTCAATGGTAAAAAAGTGGTTTACTGAATTTCGTTGTGGCCGTACAAGCACTGAAGATGCCGAACGTCCTGGACGCCCAGTTGAGGTCTTTTCACCCGAAACAATTCAAAAAAAAAATAACGATATGGTGTTGGCCGACCGAAGATTGAAAGTGCAAGAGATTGTGGAAGCCGTAGGGATCTCGCATGGCTCAGTGGTTTCAATTTTGAATGATCACTTGGGTATGAGAAAGCTTTCCGCAAGATGGGTGCCGCGATTGCTCACAGTCGACCACAAACGCAATCGTGTAACAACTTCACAGGAAGGTTTGGCGTTGTTTAATCGCAATATGGAGGAATTTTTGCACCGTTTTGTAACCGTGGACGTAACATGGATCCATGACAACACACCAGAGACCAAACAACAGTCAAAACAGTGGGTTTCTAAGGGTGAATCGGCGCCAAAGAAGGCCAAGGTGGGTTTGTCAGCCAATAAAGTTATGGCGACTGTCTTTTGGGATGCACGCGGGATAATCCACATTGACTACCTTCAAAAGGGAAGAACAATCAATGGGGAATATTATGCCAACTTATTGGACCGATTCAATGACGATTTGAAAAAAACCGACCTCATTTGGCCAAGAAAAAAGTTCTTTTCCACCAAGACAATGCAAGGGTGCACACATGTGCCGTTGCCATGGCAAAAATCCATGAATTGGGCTATGAATTGCTCCCTCATCCATCCTATTCTCCAGATTTGGCTCCGAGTGACTACTTCTTGTTCCCAAACCTGAAGAAATGGCTTGGTGGAAAAAGATTTGACTCCAATGATGAAGTCATCTCGCAAACAAAGGCCTATTTTGAGGACCTCGACAAATCATATTTTTGGAAGGGATAAAAAAATTGGAGAAGTGTTGGACAAAGTGTATAGAGCTCAAGGGAGACTACGTTGAAAAATAAAATGATTTATTTATCAAAAAATCTGTGTTTTATTCCAAAAGTCACGGACTTATTGACCCGCCCTCGTATGTTTACACTACTTTTTAATTTGCCTTATTATGGTGTGTTTTAGAAGAAAACACAAAATTACAGTAAATATTTCGGTCTTTTTCGGTTAAGAGTCTGGTCGAGTCAATTTAGTGTCGCTACGATCACTTGTCATCTTTCGAATGTTATTAATGTTTCAATTTCTGAATAACGGAATCTACTTAAATAAACAAGATAAAAACTAAAATTATAAATGTATTATAACTGACATTTCGGTTGGCATGAACCCTTAAAAACAGAGTAGCTTAGAATTTTATTGCCAGAGTGTTCTCTAAAGAGCTCGTGTTGCCCTGCGAGATGAGATTTGCTTACGTATTTCAATATTCGTTGAATATTGAAATACGTAAGTATATAAAAAACTAATGTATATACTATATATACATTAGTTTTCGGCATAGGACAGCCCACGGTTGTCACTTCAATTTGGAAGTGATTAAGAAGTCGAACCGACTGAAACAAAAATATAATTGCAAAATAAATTATATAATCATTGCCAATGTTTAAACTTATTTTTTCCTCTTTACTTCCACCCTCCTCATTATTTAAAATAAAAGTAAAATAAAATTGTATTTGATTTTACTTTACTTTTATCAATGTTATCTGTCATTTAACAACAAAAACGCGAAAGTTGGTGAAAGGTCAATGATATTTTATTAAAGTTTGATTAAAGCAGCAAAACCAATATCGCATGATTGACATACCCGAAAACGGTTAGGAGTTTATTCGCTCGCTTGCTTTGCTCCTTCTCGAGAGGCGTAGATGAACTGAGCCCATTGAACGGTTTTAAATCATATATCTTCTGGAGTTGCCTATAATTAATATCTGTATTCAGACATATAACAGCAACCGCGCGTCCTTGGACCTAAAAGTAGTTCAATGAAGAATTCTAATTATAGTAAGGGACTATGCCAGCGACTTATTAGCGTTATTATTATTTTTATTATTTCGTGTTTCTAACTTTGCAAATGATAAAATTTTATAAAACCTTTCATCGCTTATTTTATTTATTTATTTAACTTAATGCACAAGTTGTACATAAGCGGACTTATGCCCAAGGCATTCTCTGCCAGTCGACCTTCGGGTGATGTGGAAAAATGATGCGGTAGGTGCAAGAGAAAAAGAGAATTTGACTTTATTTATATTAAATTAATTAATTTAAGATAAATCTAACTTACATATTTATATACACTATATACTATAAATAAAATACTATATTCATTACTACATATATACATACATATTACCCTCTTAGGGATAAAGTTGCCAAAAATCCCTTCTTAGTGAGTACTTAAAATATAAATAGCATCAGATGCCATAAATTGAAGTTTGTAGTCCTAGCGGTTTAGGCTCTGGGTTGATGAATCATTCAGTCAGTACGGGTAATTTTATATGTATTGATGTATTATGTACAAACGACACCGGACCTATGTCACTCCTGTACTAGTAACTATTCCAAATAATATAATAATACTTACATCACCCACAAGAATTTTCCGCTGACTTTCTGGATGACGTCCAATCAACTCGCTAATATAATACAATCCGTATAACTCCTTCAGACGCGGACACGATTTGTCTAAAATTTCGACAACATCGTCGTTGTCCTCTTCCCTATAGTAGCAAAATAAAATATGAGTCTCACAAGCGGCTACCTCATCTGCCTACCCTTGTCCCAACTCTATTTGGAGTCAGTAATTGTAAAAAAAACCTTTTATCATTGTTTACTCTGTTTTGAACTTACAATCTACACTTCTAGTACTTACAAATCGTTGTCACATTTTGTGCTTAAGAAACTTCGCACTTATCATATAGGTACCTAAGCGTAAGAATTGTGAGATAATTAAAGATTGTGAAGAATATGTGTGTATGCAGCATTGAACTAATATTAGTACTTAATACATTTTAATTCAATGGTATGCAGACAGGGTAAGCCGCAGGTTTCTCTGACCGCACCAGGGACTTCCTTTCTAGGGTATACCTGGTTCCCCGGCTATTAGTACCCGAGACGGCGTGCGGTTTTAGTCGGTTCGAGTCCGACATGCCACCGAGGGGAATTCCGCACGGAAAAAAAAAGGGTTCTCTGACCGTCGATCGCGTGCGACCGACGACAGATGCGTGTCTACCGCCGGTAGCGTACGCCGTCGGCCACCTGCGAGTGGGTTTGGACGCAGGCGCTTAGCGTTTGGTAGTGATTGTGAATATCGCTGCTTGAACAATTGTGTTTGTACTCGGAGCAAAATGAACGAAAATATATTAACATTGCTAAGAGAAGAAGTGGAAGATGAACTTCTGATGTTATAAAAGAAAAAAACTAATTCATAATTCATAAAACCACCGACCCACATAAATTGTTGATTGACGCATCAAATAAGATAGTATTATATGTATCAAAATAATTAACAATGTCGATCCTTAGTGAAAAGCAAATATTAAGAAAAAAATGTTAATGAACTACCAATATCAATTCTCGATTAACTAATAAATATAAAATAAATAATATTTAAGCTATAAACAACTTACACTGCTCGACGCATCTTTAATTTTGGACAAAAATCTTTTCTACTAGCCACAATCAAGTAGTTTCCAAACTTGTCCTCTTTTCCTCTGGGCAGATATTTGTAACAATTATGCTTTTTAAATGCTCCATGTCTGAACAACAGGTCTGTGAAAAGATTTCGGAAGTTGCACATCAAGTGAATCTTACAGCCATACTTCGTTGCAGAAGTCGGCTTAGTAACGAACGATCATTGGCACTGTCGTACATTATTTCTAAGAATAATAATGGTACTACAAAATCTATAAATTGTTTACTATTAAAACTAGTTTTCTTCACAAATGTTTTAATGTTAATTCTATGGATAGTTTCATTTATTACTAAGTACTATTTTATTTTTGTAATTTGACATGAATTACCTTCTGGACAAAAAGTAGGAACGACAATCACAATTTCTGTTAAGTAACTATCGTTTAAAAATACAGATATGAGAGCTTCTTCCAAGAAAATATCGGTAACTACATCTTTGCAACACATGAAGTGAACAAATAGTGTGCTCCGAGAAACATAATATCTCCTTAAAAGTAAAAAATGGAATGTTTTACACATAAATATTTAGCAGAATAATAATATAATATTAATATAAATAATATTTTCGGACATCTGGCACAACGCTATTTAGTTTCCAACTGAGCAGACCTTGTACTATGAAAGGTAGATTGACTGATAGAATACTTATATACTTTTTTTTTTGTAAATACATATACAATAATAATATTGTAAATACATATATATTATACATAGAAAACTCCCAAACTCCGAAACAAATATTTGCAGATTAAACAAACATCTGGTCCGACCTGGAAATCCAACCCAAGACCTCAGTTCAACAATCGCATCCGCTAAGACTGCACTTCCGAGGCAGAATAACAAAAAAGTAAGAGACACTTAGGTACGCCATTCTAAAAACTCTCAATAGAAATATTAAAATAACATTGCTAAACTTAAAAAATCTCCTAATATGTAAAATTTAATGTGGTGTGGCGACGCGGAGACATGCGCAAGTGACTACGAGTCTGTCACGGTGATTATGAAAGTGATTTTGTACTCTTTTTTTATGGCCTGATGGAAAGTGACTATATACCGCCGCCCATGAACGCCTGCATCCCAGAAGTCACAAAGGCGTTGCCGGCCTTTTAGGAAGGCGTACACTCTTGAACGCGCTCTAAGAAGGTCGCATCGGTCCGGTAATATCACAGACGATAAATTGTTCCACAGATTGGGATTACTGATTGCGAGGCAAAATGGTAGAGCGCCTATTATTCAAGTGATGGCAATGAAAATTTTGCCGTGTGGAACGATGACGGCAAGCTGCGGCCGGTACTAGTCCGAAGTATTCCTCGAAGCACTCTCCATGATATACACGATAGAGTATGCTACATCTCTACTTAACGCCAAGGGATCGAGCCGATCGAAGATCTTCTTGAGACACAACTTTGGTTCGACTCTCGATGACGTTTTCCCTACAAAAATACTGGGGCGGTCAGTACAAAGGGCATCTCCCGTACTATCATCTGCATAGCCATGAATGTTACTAGTTTGCAACATGTCATTATTTCAACAAAATAATTTTAATGTGTCATATCTGCCAGACGTCCCGCAACACGGCTGATTTTCTTTAATTCTATGACTCTTGGTGAAAATTTTCATACAACAATGCCAAATACCTATTAATTATTATTGCGATATTATATTCACGTCTTGAATAGTTTGGTAAGGAAAACATTAATTGAGTTAAGTTGTTAAATTACTTACTGAAATAAATTTCTTATCCAATATTCCCATCCAGCGGGGTCAACGCTATGCACATTCGGATGGTCTGAGAACGCTATAAAACCAACGACCGCATTCTCCTCATTTATCATACATAATGAAAGAGCAGACAGTTCACTGAAAAAAAAGCTAAATTATGCGCTTCAGGGAGCATAAACATATTTTCAGTTCATGGAGACCGTTAAAACACTATTAGGTATTGGGTTTAAAAATATACGCCAAAGCAGTTCCTTATTTTCAATACAATCGATGCTATAGATTATATATTTACGGGCGTTTTGCAACAGAATAAGATCATGAGTGTTTGTAAGTTAACATTACAATTGTGAAAAAAAATCCGGTCTAAATACTACTGTGAAGATTCGTGTGCATCTAGATCGAGGGCCCGTTTTTTTTGAATCCTTGCGAAACGAGACTTGTACATATAATTAACCTATACATATATTAAAGTCATGTTTATGTATTGCTTCAGATTAATTCATGTTTTGCAGATTCCTGCGTGAGACCTAGATATACCGCCATAAATCTGTAATGTCGTATTCTACAAATTTGGGAATTTCCTAAGTAAATTCCAAAATTATTAACACAGGGAAATTACTAACTGAGATTTAGGCTATGCCACTTTATACACGTGTCTGGATTGAGGGCCCAAGTTATTTATTCATAACATCTTTAATTCACGTTTAAGAAATTTACGGCCCTTTGCTATTAAGTTTTTACTAATTTCTCTATACCTTATTTCGTTTCGCAAAAGATAAAAAATGGGCCCTCGATTTATATGCAGACGAAAGCTTTTTTCGCTACAAACGTAAATATCAAAAGCAATTCGCTTTTCGTTTTAGTTGGTATGATTTTAGTAGTTAGTAAGCAAGCACTTGTTATGCCTTATTTGGAATATTTTTGGTAGTTTCTATGTATAATCAGCAGACATGTTATTTTTCTCAATAAGTACTTGCGTTTAGTGCTTACTGAATTTATTATTTTTAATAAGAGATGATAATGCGATACGGTTTTTGTTAAATTCGTTGTTAAACATACTGAAGTATCTAAAGTAGCTTCCTGGAGTCATTTTATACTACTTAAATAAAAATTCTTACATCAGTGAACCGATATTTACGTCGCCGAAAAGTGCCTGTGTGTGATGTGCAAACATCATTAGTTCGATATCATGTCTATCATCTTCGACGGCCCTCCGTAACCAGTGTCCTGATTTACCACCTTCATAGTTAAAGTATATTGACATTTAAAGAACAATACGTTCACATACATCCACTGAAATGAATTTTAAAATAATTGTCAAAGCTATTTGTTGTTTACTTTAAAATCATTTATCTAACTAGTAGGCCATGGAAATAAAAATAAAACACATTTTAAACTATGCAAATATATTACAACCATAATTTACATTTTATACTTATTAAAAAATTGTACATTAAATTAAATAAAATGTCATCAATTAATAAGATACAGACGCTAAGAGTAAACGCATTATTTCGAAATACTGATTATTATTAAGTACGCTTTCTTGCGACATATTCAAACTTTTTTACGAGTTTAAAATGATTTAATACTCATAAGCTGCCTAATGTTGAAAATACATCATAAAAGAGGTTAATGGATCGTACGAATGTTAAATCAGTCCGTATGAATTGTTAAACTGCGTTGTAAGAAATTTACTATTTGAAATTGTTAATACAAGTAATATCCAAGTAAATCTAAAACTATATAGATATTCCAATGCAAGAAAATTAAAAATGCTTCTAAGAACTTAAACAACTTACAAAACTATCTACCACACAAAATACTATATCAATCACATCTATAGACAAATAATAAATCTTAAACAATGCTGTATGTAAGCACATAATTATAGAGATTCAAATATACAAGAAGTTAAAATATATAACCAACGAGAAAACAACTAATACGTCACAAAACTTGAGTCAAGCTATCAACACATGTTTAAAAATAAAATGTAATAAAAACCTGAATATTATCTATAATTACACATCGGTTCCTTTAAATAAAACCATATTAACTAACATTACAGTAAGGTTTAGTACACACATCTTGATATTCTCGTGTAAGTATAAAATCAATCAAATCAAGATATATAAAGACATATGTGCTAATACTCAGTCAAGTTTTAAATTAAAGGCGGAAAGTTTTTAGCTCGCACTAAATGCGAGTGAGACTTAGACCTGCTAACATTATTATTGGGGGTAGTTTTAACAGTTAAACTAGAGACTGTGTTTTGTCTTTGAAGGTTGACTTTGTTTGCGCTAAGGGGAGCTCGAGGTGTAGCGAAGCCGTCGTTATTTAGCTTGAGTGCGGACCGAGTAAGTCTCGTGGGTGTATACATGAGATTGCTTTTAGGTGTCATATGCATATTAACTTGTTGTATATTTTCTTTCCCGACTTTAGGCGTCAATGGTGTTTTAACCCTCGGAGTTTTTTTTGGGGTGGTATTCTCATCGATGTGATGGTACACGATGTTTGGGAGGACGGTTTCGTGTTGCTTCGGGTTAGCCATCGAGCTGCGGCTTATCTGTTTCTCATTGATTCCATCCTTAAAAAAAAACAAATATTTGATAAGAAAATCGCTAATAAGCTACACTAAACGCGGGACAAAATCATAGTAAACTTGTGATTTTTCATTTGATTTTTGCGGTCGCAGTTTAGGGTTGCTAGATATGTAGTTTGGACGCTATTTAAGAGTAAATCTAGTTTTTTTTTTTGTAGGAAATGGAAACAGCGTATTGGCAACAACGTGTGAGTGAGTAGTAATCATAACCACGCACGAAAAAATCGAATGATAAATCACCGTTCATTCACAGTTCACTGTGATTTTGTCCCATCTATAAGCTACACGATACAAAGAATGTTTGTCTATGTGAGGATTATTAGGTGTGATGAAATGTAGCATTGCTCGAAAACTGGTAATTTCTCAATCGTCATAAAAACTGAGTAAACAAAATTACTGGCGGTATACGCTTATGAATTGTATGTATGATAAAAACGCTTATGAATTGTATGTATAGGTATGTTTACAGGTACATTGGGGAGAACTCACCTTGAAATCGGTATAAGTGGTAAGAAGTGTAGTCTCCATCAAAGGATTCGGCTTCGTGGTGCGTGATTCTTCTTGCGACGTTGTGGAGCGAGTGGTGTTTATCGAAGGACGCCCTGTGCTGCGACGCTTCCCATGGGACTAAGTAAAATTATTTTGTCACAGTCAATGACTGAATATTGTACCACATGTTTATGATATACAAGACAGATTTCTGTTTATCCCGTTTAAAAACATTTGTAATTCGAAATTAATAAGGTAATATAGACTTGCATTCAAAAGTTATGTAATTTAGATATAATAATAATATAGTGTTATAAAGTTACATAATTGAGTTTTTGAATTTATTTTCAATACCGTCTGTATTAACTTTTCTTCTTCTTCTTCTTTCTTGTAAGTATATCTATATCATAAGTTCTTTATAATTTTAAGAGTTTCTCAAAATATATTGCATATGTAGAATATAACTTACCGTTCGCTTATGTTTTAGAATACTGCCATTAACCGTCTTCGGAGTCTTCTTTGGGTCACCTCCATAGTCAAGTTTCCTCTTAGCTTCAGGACCAAGTCTCCCCTCTGCGACTACCCTTGCCGCCAGTCGCCCGCTTATACGCCTGTTACAATAATAAAAAAATAACGGTTCGAGACAGTTGAACAAAAAACTAGTTTGTTACCTTCTGTATTAACAATAGCAATACGAACTGAAACAACGTTTTAGTTGAGTACTGTATAACCCCATTGTAAGTTGTATTTATTTCTATAATTGTAAATAGATATTTTATACTTAAAACCCTACTTTTCATTTGACATCGTAATTTTAGCATTTTAACATTGATTTCAGCTCTAAATAGTATTAGAAATAAATCAGACGCGAACAGAATTGGCAATGGGCTGGCCACATTGTCAATTCTATTCAGTATAGCCGGCAATGTGAATTGGCCAATGATGATGATAAGACATCTAGTCTTAATTAGTGTTTTCCTATTTACTTCGATGCATTAATTTAATGAATTGTTTCTTTGTGATAATATTTCTTATTTTCAAACTGAAAGACATTAGTTATCCATCCTATCCTAGCTCCTAAATAGATTGATAGAAATCATCAACATTCTTCTAATTGTTGAAGGGACCCATATAATGTGTATGTCAAATATTAATTTTTTGCTAATATATTTATACAAAAAATTGATTTATTTAAAAAAATTGCATGAATGGTGGTGAGAGAATTTAAACGATTTACAAGTATTTTTGTAGTCCTTCTACAAATACAAAACTATGGTATTACTTTAAGAAACTCTAAACTACAATCTACTTCAGTTACATGTTTTAATATTCTAATACATTATATGAAAATTAAAAAAAAAAAGCACTAAGATACATCTACATGTTTCATAAACTTGTTGTTTGATACTACTACACTATAATATTTCTCATTCCTCATTTCTTCTACTTACACAACAAGTCATATATCAAAATCGGATATTTTAGTTTGTTCGCTACATAATATCATCATCAATCAAACGAAACTTGCCTCTATAATTATGACGTATATGTGTTTTCACATCAATAATTTCACATTCGTGCACTGAAATAGTAAAGGAATGAAAAATATTACCTAAATGACAATTTTGTGAGAAGTTTTGATTGAGAAATTCTCTAAAGTGGTACATACGTTATTTTAAAATATATAACTTATTCTAACCACATACTTGTATACTATAAATAAGTCTTAAAAACTTGCAAAATAAAATAGTTAATCGTGTTGTCGTAACGCCCTTTATAGTTCTGCTAGACATGGTTTATAAATTATTGTAAAAAAAAGGCAATTAATGCATGGAAGCCAAGAAGCAACCCTCTGACTTGTTTTCAAATTCATAGGAAAATAAGTTGTATTAATTAAACAACATATACTACAGTATTTGTGGGCAAACAAATGTGAAGGTTGATGATGATGATGATCTAAAATCAATATAACGCCAAATAATAATTGTAAACACGAATGAAAGTGCGAGGAGTTGCTATTCATACATGGTAATTCGGAGTTACAACATGAGGACCTAATGTGAGTTCATTTCACGTCCACTGGATCGTCACTGTGAAATCTTCACCAACCGCAACGCCCAATGCAGTCGCCGTCGAGAATGAGTTGATGTGAAATAAAATCACACTAGGCTTTCACGTTGTAAGCAATACGTACTTTATATTTTTCTATAATTTCGTTCTAAATATATTTTATTGCCGACGATAAACTGTTTATCCAGAAATAAAACAGTATTGTAGTTCTTCAAATCTGTTATAAGGAAAGATGAACTTGAAGTCATTGGACCAATATGTATATAATTGCTAGTCAAAGGCAAATTAAATATTTATATGAAATTCCGATTGCAATAAACATGGAGTAGAAGCCTATAATGTTGCGTGATGGTTGCCTATTTGGAAGCTTCTAAAGAGTGAAACGAAATTTTGTGTTTTTGCATATATAGATAGATGCATTAAATATTTAAGTTAATGTACAATTTCAGTGGTTTCATGACTTGTATGTTAACTTTTCCTACAAAAACATAAAATGGATTCGTGACTTTGTCTGTAAAACATGATTTTTCACTTAGTACGTCTTTCCCTTTATATGGTGTTTCTTTTTCTTTCAAGTTTATATGCAACCACTTTCCTAAGTTAATATGAAACCACAACGGCATAGCATACTCAATTTAAATTAACTAATTTCAAATTCAAATAATATTCGAAGTCCGTTCCTTCAAAACTTTGAATGATTTATTGTGAAATGTAAAAAAAAAAATTAAAAAAAATTATACACCTAATAGTAATTCCTACATGACAGAAAGATGATAAGTTTAGTTATCTCATGTGTATTTGTTTTAGAGATTTTAGTTATAAATGCTATGGATCAAGTGAAATGTGAAACCATAACTAATCTATACTGTGTACTATGAACTTACCTTTTAACAGTCGACATAGCAGACCGCTTTAATGCCGACAAGTTATTCGTGATTGTAGTCACAGCTTTATTGGCGCTGCCCGTTATAAGTTGGCGCTTCGACGGCGGCCTGTCAATTGAAAGAACTGTTTAATGTCAATGAGACCATTTCTTAATTCTAGGTGTGACTTTTTTTATGGTTATTTAAAAAAGTGGATAGTTCTGGATTAGGATTTGTATTTTTAACTTCGATATTTTAAATTAGATTCGAAATAAATATTTACCTGTTCTTTTCGGCGGTGGCGGTGAAGCCGGCGGCCGTGCGGTTGCGCTTGCCGAGCGGCGACGTGGCGAGCGAGCGGAACAGCGGCGTCGTGGGCGTGTGCGCCTGCTTGCGCGCCGACAGCTTCTGGTGCCGCTCCTGGGGGCCGTTACACACTTCTATACTACATTCGCATCGCACTCGCTTCGATCGAGCCCCGCGCCCTGACCGATCAGGTACCGAGTTTGATACGAAGCGATAATTTCTTGAAACCTGATCCGTCTGCGGGAGTCGATCTCAGCCTCACTATTTTCTTAATGCGAATGGACCATAGCTTCTAGAGAGTTGAAATTTGTGTAGCTACTAATTATACGTCACACTGTGTACCATGAAATTCATGTGTATCCATGAAATTCAAAATATAAAAGAGAACGACAGTATTAAACGCTTACAGTTTTTCGATTTTCCCATTCGTCTTCCATGAGCTGAAGTAGAGGCTTGCCGTCGACGGTGAAGGTGTTTCCGGTCTTAGTTTCGTACTCGGTCACCAACTCACGAATTTGTGCTTCGATTTTGGGTAGCTTTAAAGGATTCAATAATAATGAGTAAACAATTACATATGTATTTGAAAGGCGATCGATTAAAAGTTTGTATACCTCAAAAAAGTTTAGAATGAACAACTCCTAAAGCATAAAAGTCATGCACTGTATGAAGAATGCTGAAGCCTAAAACTTCTTATCAGAAACTAACTTTTTATACGATTTTATTAATCCAGGATGTTATTAATTACATAAAGTTAAAAATAAATAATATGATTGAAAATAAAATAATGAGAATTTACTACTACTACTCACATTACTGGCAATAGCTTTCCTCTCTCTCTCCTCACGCAAGAGTTGTCCCCCGCGGTTGTGGTACCGGCCCGGTTCTGTGGCGCGCGCTTCCAGCTCAGTCATCTTCAGCCAGAGGTTCTTGCGTGTCACCACCAACTCAAAAATGTGTCTAAATAACATTAACATTATGCATTTAACTCTTTTTTTTTGTACAAATACTTTGATGAGACCAACAATGAATCATGCACTATTATATCTTTACATTATATTATTCATTAGCTTTCCCTCTTGCTTTAGTTCCGTAGAAGTGATATTTGGAAAATTTTAAAACAAAATATTTAAAAAAATTATCGAGATGCAAGATGTTAATGAATTTGATTACTTTATCTGAATGACAGCTGTCTTAACAAAATACTCACTTATTTTCATTGTAGAACTTAGTGATCTTCTCAAGATACAACTCATGTAGTGTTAAAGTATCTTCAGTAAATATATCCTGATAATAATGCACGAACTCTTCACGCTCACGTGTCGAATACATCACACTGTCCCACATTAGTTTTATTTTAGTACGAACGTTGGCCACGAACACCTATGTACAAACAATATATAATTTAATAACTTTAAACAAATAATACTTAAAAACATATTGCAGTAAGATAGTTACACTATTATATATGTATCCCACTTTTACGTAACTATCTTATGGTGTATAAATATATGCCTAGAGATTAATTGCATCACATAGAAATAGTAACGTAAATCTTGATTGGATCACAAAGAACCAACCAACTTTTTAACTTCAGATGACTACTCGCCTACTATGTCAGATTTTTAACAACAAAAACATTTATATTAGTCCAAACAGGTATACCTCGAATTACCTGGAAGGATAAGCACAGCTAGTGCTTTACAAAATGCCAGTATACTTACACCTGCTTCAAAACCCAATGGTTGATCAATCTCAATCTTGCACAACATAATACAATGAGGTTTAATTTAAATTTTAACTGAACCACTGCATATGGAAAAGAGCTTCATTATATTGACTTTTATACCTGAATCTTCTGCCTCTTAATTAAATCACAGCGCTTAATCTCCTCCTTGATGGCAGCTTCAGTCTGTGGATGACAACCAGGATGTGCATGTAAGAAGTTCTCGCGATAGATTTGGTCTTCATCTAAGCAGTCCCACAGTTTGGCGAGGCGTTCACGAAGTTCCAATACCTGAAACAATATAACAATGGTATTTTATAAACATTACATTATGAAAAACATACTTAAATACATACTTATTATAGATAAATTACACCTATACACAGAACAAGTTATGGTGCTCATAACACAATTATTTGTCCTGGGGGGAATCAAACCCACAACCTTTGGCTTAGCAGTCAGGGTCACTAACTACTAGGCCAAGAAGCTAATTGATATTAATAATATACAGACAATCAGGTCAATGCAAGTAAACAAATCATAAGTATTATATAGTATATTAATTGATAAAAAAAATACATAAGGAGATGTCACTTAACACTATTTAAAGATATCAAGATTGTCTTTAAAAAAGCAGTCAATAATATCAGAAACATACTCTGTTATTAGTTTGATCATATTTCTCTTGAAGATCTTGTTGAAGTTTAGAAAGCCGGTCCATATTGAGATCTGTAACCTTGAAGTCCACAGACAGTGATGAGGTCACAATGTGTTCAAACTTGTTCTGTGGCTTGATTCTTAACTTATCTGAAAATATTAAGTTCTTCAATGTTTGTGTGTAGGTATTTTAATCTTGCTAACATATTTTGAGAGATTAAGTCATGTTGATGCTGTTGTTGCTCCATGGATAAAAGGGATTAAAGTTTGTAGTGACTTGAAGTTCAGCAGTTTGATTAGCATTAAAACTATAGATTTTTACACTCTTAGGTGTAATTTATACACTGGTATAATCATAAAAACCATAAATAAGTGATTTTACAACATGTTCAATAAATGTAAGAATCTATCCATCCTAGTCCTAAATAAGTGATCATACAATATTTTTTATATATTTCGAGAATTTAACTAGAGAATTTAAAAGTTATGTAAGCATTTGAAAGTAATAATATTAATCATCATTAGCTTCTCATTCCCAACACATTAAGAAAGTACTTGCTCACCCATAATATCCTTGATTTCAACCTGAATATTCAAGAAAATCTCAGCCCGCTTATCCCTTTCAGCCTGGAGCATTTCTAGGTGTGCCTTAAGCCTGTCCAGGTCTTCTTCAGATGGAAGTGGTACTTCCTGCAACTCCTGGATGGTGACACCGAGCTTATCAGCTAGATCACGTTGCCATTCCAGCAACCTCTCCATCTTCATTCTACGCTGTTCCACCTGCTCCCTATATCTGATCATATGAAGACAGAATTTAACTACAAAGGTGAATTTAAAGTCACCAAACTTGAAAAGTTAAGAGCATTTAAAATATTTTTATTTCTTTACCATTTACAGATTAGCATTGATTATTAAAATTAACATTGATTAAAATAAAAATAAAAAAGTAATTAGTATTAATCTTAACATTTTACTATAAAACTAAATATGGTATCAATTCCTCTTGTGATCACTTAACCAATATTAAAATTAGTTGCAAGTAGTATGTCTTTACCGAAATCTAACGAGCTTTACCACAACTAAATGGGCTGTATTATGTATTTATGACATAAATGATACATAAGAACACATAGCCTGAGAAATGTTAAGATGTACCAATGAGACGCAACTTTATGACAATGTATGTAATAACAGTGATTTTCTCATCAACACAGAACAAACTATAACACCTGCATAATTTGCTTGAGAAAAACTATGATACTAGATTACATCAAGTCACCAAGCACCTCATGCCACTAGGTTCTCATGTTACACAACTTATTATTTAAGTTGTAAACTATGTAATGAGGAGTCTTGTACAAATAAAAGGGGATGGTCCTTTTTTACTAATGATTAAGTATAATCTTTGGCAAGATTGGAACCTATCCAATTTTTCAATAAAATCTATGAAAATATTTATACTTCCTAGTTTATGTTTTATATGTCTCTAATTATTTTAACATACACATGAGTTTACCTCGTATATCACTTTACTATGCTCTATTATTTCTTAAGATTTGTTAAAAGAAACCTCAGGCTTTAGTTCAAATATTTACTACTTAGTTAGATAGTAACTGACTGAAATAAACCATATTACATCATAAATAATACTAGATTTATATTTTAAGCATTGTAAGACAAGCCAACATAGTAGTAAATATATAGCCAGTTCTAGTTAAAGATATAAAATGCTCAACTTTTAAGCTATTGCAAACTCCTTAAATACCCCCCTAAACTAGCCATATCTTTTTACCTGTATTACATTCCCTTGTTGCCATGTTATCCTTTTATAATATTTTATTTCCAAAATTTACTTATACTTAGCAAACTGTGGATGTTAAATATGTATCTGCTTACCCCGCAATCTGCTCTTCCAATTCTCTCTTGTACTCAGCTAACATCATTTCCTTCTTTAAGTCCAGAATTGTGATGTCAACAGACAAACATCTGCTTAATTCTTCAGTTTCCTCCTTTAATTCTATAATAAATATTATATTAATCAGTCACAGGCCTTACAACTTTTAAGTGAGCCGTATACATTTAAAACTCTTTATATGAGCTGCTATATAATTAGTAGCTTATGCAGGTACAGTCAAAAATTGTAGTTTGAATTTTAATAATTGATTTAATTTTCATTTGGTGAGCTTGACAAGGCTAATTTTTAGAGTCTACTGTTAAGTTTCCTTAACATGCCAAATTTAGCATTTACTCTATTTTTTTTAATATTAACAGTAAAAATATAAAATATAGTTGAAACACACAAGAATAAAATTTAAATTTGCAAATGTGTAATACTTACTGTCAACTTGTCCCTGCATTGTCTTCAGCTTCTGTCTGGTCTCAGAGATGACATCCCGATGGAGTTCCTTCTCAATCTGCACCAGTTTAGTGATGTTGTTCACTTTAGTGGTGTCATCCACACCAAGGTGTGACCAGTTTAACCAGAGCTCCTCCATCATTGAACGGATATTTTGAGAGATCTCCAAGAGAACTTCATTACTGGAACACATAATACATATTTTCTGTAAGTTCACTGTGTTTGTCATTTAGGATGTATTTACAGAGTATATGTGGTTACTTTGTATAAACTTCACGATGCCCAACGTTGTCAGAATAAGTTTCGAACTCATTACAAATCTATGAAAGTTATTTGCTTTACCTATGCTCAGTAAGGAATAAAAAATGATGGGTACAATTATATTATTTTCACTTAACAGATTGGCTACAATGGTTATTATGTACTTATAGTTAGAAATAAGAAAGCTCAAACAAAATAACAAATAACGGTGGGAATTGTGGCAGGTAACGCCTTGAACATTTCAAAGCAGGTACTGTCTAACATGGATGTAATTTAATGACAATTTACTTTAATTAAAACTACACTCGTTTTAAAAGTTGGAAATTTGAAGGAAAGTAGTTAATTTGAAATATAACTTAGTAGTTTTGAATAGAAAAAAATATATTTAACTCACAATAGTTTGTTGACATCTTCGGTTGTAATCATATTGTAAATTATTCACTTATGTCTCAATTACTTCAGTCACATATGATCACAAATGTAACGTTTAAGTAAAAATTTCACTAAAATCACTGATATAACTTAGTAGTCCTTCATCAACCACCAATCCGTACACGAAATCTAACGAGCTTGAACGTTTGTTTTCAAATTTCAATACGTTATGAATAAAATGTCTTCCGCTAAGCCGTGATTGGCCTGAGTCTTGCTCGTTCAGAAATGAAAAGTGTTACCACATAAATGTTTACAATAATTGTAAAGACTGAATAAACATTTTCTAAATGTGTTAAATTTTTTTTTGCTTGTGGCTGTTGATAAAAAAAAAATGTTACTTCTATACAGATTGAAAGATTTTTAATAAGTTTTATACTAAATATAGTATAAAACTTATTAAAAAAAATTACAATCTGTTACATATTGATAACAAGAATGATTTTTATATAAGCTTTTGGCTACGGCTACGTTGACTTTAAAGGTTTTTCATCTCTTGGGATTAGCAATTCTTTGTGGATGTAAGTCATTCTACATGATGCTCTAAGTTCTTATAATGTAATACATAAATCCGCTATTCGACACTCTCAGTGGCGGATTAACTACGTAGCAAGAGTAGCAAATGCTACTCTTATGCCCCGCGCACCAAAGCTTTCTGACCATAACGAAGTATCTACTTATTGACTAGTTAGTTTTATTAGAATGAATCGCGAAATGCGATGCCTTCGTGGCACAACATATTTAAAGTCATGCTACTAAGGGAAAGGATCACACGACATATTAATCAAAAACAACGTGTGAGGAGTTTATCCATATAGTTGTATCAAACATACTGGAACAAATAATTTGCAAAATTAATATTATTCAGCGTCATTAGATTCCACTCCAGTTATATCCCATGCTGATACTAATAGTCCGCTATATTCTGCCATCTGAACCACTTTCCACATCTTTAACGGAAAGTTTGTTAAGTTCTTGAACATGGAAGACCATAGTGCTGAACGACTCGCAGAAAACTTATTAAATTTCTTAAGTGAGAGTAGTATTGATTTTAAAGATTGTCGTAAGCAAAGCTATGATGACACCAGTATTATGAATGATAAATACAGGGGGTTACAAACATGTACTTTGCAAATAAATAAGTGTTCAGAATACATTCCGTGTCTTGCAGACTCATAAAATTTGGTTGCTAAGTGCGCTATAGACTGCTGTACAGAAGCAACAATATTCTTTGATTTTTTTGAAAATTTATAATATGTTTTCCTCATCACATATTGCCATCGATTCCCACAAGAGATAACAAAAAAATATAGTAATAACACGCCAAAACCAAGTTGACAATGACACTGACATTCCATAATCCATGTGCCGTATTGACATGACTGTAAGCGTTTGAGTTTCTGAAATACTCAATATTATTATGTATTTCATAAAACATGAGTGAGACAAAATCTAATGATTTAATATAAGTTATTTTTAGTATGTTTCTTCTACCATGTAATCTTGTTTACCCACACAGCACCTATCACCTTACTTAACGAAGATTTTAGGTACTTAAAGAAGATTTTATACTCATTGTTAGTTTACGAAAATAAATGGCAAGTGTAACAGAACGAAAAAGTTAACGGCAATTAACTTTATTTAACATTATTTGCGGAAGTAGGTCATTAGTCCACTGCTGGACATAGGCCTATCCTTAGTATAACTTAATAGAATGATTATTGAATATATATATGAGAATAATTTTCTTTTTATTATAACCTTATAATTGGGCCTAAAAAGGCCCTTTGCCTTGTTTTTCTACGTTTTACCCGCATTTAAAATATTTTATTTATGCGTGTATTGTACTAGTTTTACATATAAATATACGTGGGGCATACTGAAAGTCTCTGGATCTGGCCACTTACAATAAAATAAAATAAAAAACAATTATGGAATTCGAAAATGGAACTCTTTGGGAACATGTTACTTCGCAGCTCTTTGTATTTGTTGTTTGGAGAATTTAGACATGGATGGCGTAGTGATTTAAGCGGTCGCCACGCCACTTTCTACTACGCGGAGTGTTGTGGGTTCGATCCCCACATGGGACAACACTTTGTGTGCTCCACAAAATGTTGTTCTGAGTCTGGGTATTTTTTGAGTCCGATTCAAAAATTCCTTATGTTTGTGAAAGTCCCCCGCTACACAGGATATATTCCTAAAGCGGGCGCTGTTTAAAAAAACATAAAAAATTAGGTATTAGGTGATTTGTCCTGTTAGAAATTTTTGTCTGCAGGAATAGTGTAGAAAAATGTCTTTTATGTATATAGGTAGATTATATTCGTCAGGCACTACTTTCAATTTTAGTCGATTTATATTAATACTAGCTTTTGCCCGTAGCTCCGCCTGCGATTATGTCAGTTACCGTATCGTTACCATAGTGTGGATTATCGAATAAGTGCCTGAAGAAATATTCAAGGCATTTTTTCTTTATTTGAAATTGATTGGTAGAGATAGATGTATAATATTAACACACGTTAAAAGTAAAAAAAAAAATATTACTTTTTTAACACCATAGGACCTAAGTTAGACGAGGAGTTAGATTTGTTTTATGTTACAGTTAATAGCGAATGTAGATTCTATTACCCATATTAACATATTTACACAAAGTGTTTTGTACACCTGAAAATCCTGAAATTAAAATAAACGAATTAAAATTCACATGCAAGAGTAGAAAATTTGGACGACGCTGTAAATAGTATTAATCAAGACTTAGAGACCATAAAAAACTGGTCCTGCAGGTTCGGTTTAACGGTGAACCCATCAAAATGCCAAGCGATCATCATAGGAAGTCCGAGAATGACAAGCAGAATTGATCTTGATAATATTACTGGCATCATCTTTAATGACACCGTTTTGCCTGTTAGTACATCGGTCAAGGATCTCGGTCTGCACATCGATGCGACTCTGAACTGGCAAACTCAGGTAACTAGTGTCAGTCAGAGGGTTACGAATATTTTACGAGGATTCTATCGCCTTAAAAATTTCCTCCCAATAAAACAAAGACGATGCTTGTGCAGAGTTTAATTTTTCCACTTATCGACTATGGTGATGTGTGTTATCTCGACTTGAATGCAGATCTGCTCAAAAAATTAGACCGACTTCTCAACAATTGCATTCGATTCATTTTCAACCTGCGAAAATACGATCACATATCCGCTTGCCGTACGCAACTGTCATGGTTACCTATAAGACAGCGCCGCAGTTCGAGAACTCTGACTGTGTTACACTCTCTTCTCTACTCATCTAACTCACCTATCTACTTAAAATCCCACTTTCAATATCTCTGCTCTAATCATGACAGAACTCTTCGCTCTTCCAACAATCTTCTCCTTCTTTGTCCTTCACATAATTCCAGTATGGTCCTTTCTTCCTTCCCTGTTCAAGCTGTAATTCTTTGTAACACACTCCCACTAGAAATCAGGATGTCCACTAACCGATACACTTTTAAGCTTAAAGTACGGAAGCTCTATAGAGACTTGTTGACGGAGTCATCAGAATAACACCCTAAGAGTATATTTATTATCATATGTATTATAATATATTACTCGTATATATTTTTTGTCATTTATTATGATATTTATATGTATAAACTATATGTATGTATATCTAGTACTTATATATCTGTAGGATTTGTTATTTTCTGCCATTGTAACATGGCTTCATTCAGTCTCATCTTTACCTGTCCCAAATACACACCTGACACACACAGCTTTGCAACACCCAAAGGTTTGACTGGAAGAAAATGCCTGAGGCATTAAGTCCGCCTTATGCAATATGTTAGCAGGAAGACTCAATAAATAAATAAATAAATATAAGGTAGAAAAGTAGTACGTTGTTCAAGTTATTTATGTACACTTCCTTCCACATAAGACTGGCTTCAGTCAATAAACTCGATTTATTGCCTTTACATGTATGAGAAAGAGATAGGCTTAGCAATAAGCCTGGTTCCCCGGCTATTAGTACCCGGCGAAGGCGTGCGGTTTTAGTCGGTTCGAGTCCGACATGCCACCGACAGGTGGTATCCGAGGGGATTTCCGCACAAAAAAAAAAAAAAAAAAGGCTTAGCAATAAGTGCCGCTAACGGTATTGCGAGTATTTTAACGGTATTAACTACTGTTAACTAATTTGTGTACGTAAAATGTCACTCATTCTGTATTTGTGTACTTCGATTTGAATTAATTACATTTTACAATAGAATAAAAAAGAACATGATTAATTGGTAGTCGTTCGTGTGCCACAATGCAGGCATTACCAACATTCACTCGATCACGATTGGCTTCTTGCGACAATAACATCACTTTACGATTTATATTAGAAGTATTTTCTAATTGGATATACAGCACTAATTACTTATAAGTCCCAAAGACTTCCGTGGATAGCAATCTAATTGATCTAGTATGTTACGTTAGCTATTGAGTAAGATCACAATGTCGATGTAGTCGATAGAGCACTAAAATCGAGATGGAATTGTTGCCTGATTATTAAGTAGAATTATAAGCCTTTTTACACTGAAGAACCTATCGATGTTTGAAAGAGGATAAGAATAATAATAATATCTCACACATTTCACACACGGCCGTCTGATCCCAAACTAGACAGAGCCTGTACGATGGTTACCAGACTGCTGATAAACATACTTATAAATTTTTAAATACATACATATTATAGATAAATTACATCCAAACACAGAACAAATGACCGTGCTCATCACACAATATTTGTCCTGGGATGGGAATCGAACCCACGACCTCCGGCTTAGCAGTCAGGGCCACTAATCACTAGGCCGACGGGCAAATAAGGATCTTCACGAAGCAAATACGTGAATAAGTTATATTTATATTCGTACCGTCAGATACTTATGCGTCGTGTATTACTAGGTTCATCAATCTGCAACGAGTTGTACGTCGCTTAGATATTGTGTGATTTCCGCAAAATCTCCGATGTTGTGCTTACTA